GGGTTCTCACCCAACGCCTTCACTGCGCACGTTGGCTGATCTCTTTGGCTGGGTAAAGCATTCGTTGGAGTACGCTGCCTGGGTGACTGGCAAAACGCCTGATGAGCTCAAGACAGCCATGGTGAATACTCTGGCCGACCACAGCATGTCGACCGCATTTTCTGGAATCGGTGCGCCTGAGAATGCCATGACGAGCATATGCTCTCATCTCGGGGTCTCTCCTTCACAGCCACTCTATGCGATAGAATGGAACCAGGAGTGCCGGAGAGAGTTATCAGCATCTCCGCGACGCCCGATATGCATGTTTTCAGATGTGAACGATTTTTGGAGCCCAGACAGATACGTTGATCAATCTTGGACCCTATCCAACTTCACTTCGGAGATCAAGAAAGGTGGGGCTGTCGTGCTATCGGGCGCATACTGCAGCTTGCACGACAGCTGGACTTGCAAACTGACTCGTGCAAAGCTCCACGTTGCAGGGACCCCGTGCCCAGACTGGAGCTCGCAAGGCTTGCGTCAAGGAGAACATGGGTCTGACCTTATGGCGACTATGGCATGGACCGCTCTTCGGTTCGAACTGGAAGACGACATATTCATGAATGAGAATGTTATAAAATTCCCGCCGGATCGTATCTTTGAGTGCCTTATGGGGAAGTATGTAATTATCACTGCTGTGTGCAGTCTGGTGGAGCAGGGCTGGCCACAAAGGCGCCAGAGACGGATCACGGTTGGCGTACACAAGTCGCGCATCGTGTGCAGCGTGACGTGGGACAGGTTCAACGACCTCTACAAGCGGGACATCGTCGGCACATCATGGAGGGTAATCATGTGCGCATGCCGCCAAGAACTTGATGAAGAACTGTCCTGGGCAATGGCACGGCCGGGGTCCTTGAGTGGGAAGAGCTTGGACGATGGCATCAAATATGAAGCTGCTCTCGCCGCCAATAAGTCGAAGAAGCGTAAGGGGGGGTCAGCTAACTGCAAGGCGTGGCTCGAGCTGCTCGATGATGACCCGACCCTTATCGACGACATGCGTGAACTACATCCTCAGACTTCGTTCACGCAGTGTATGACTGTCTGGGAGCTGATGAACGTCGTGAGATACACCAGATTGGCTCAGTCCATGTGCGGCTTCGAGTCCGGCGTCCCTGATGTGATTGTTGATGTTGGACAAAACCCTGACAAACGGAAGACGCTGGGCTCAGACAACGCCATTCCTACCATTACGAAGGGGTGCTATCTGCTGTACAGCTTGGTGGAGAAACGATGGCTCACGCCGAAGGAGCTCTTGCTGGCCCAAGGGTTCGCCGTCACCCCTGCCGCCAAGATTAATTCGGAGACGACGTCTTTTGACGTCGATAGGCCAGTGTTCCCACGCCACAGGGCAGACATCATTCGTCAAGCAGGCAACGCGATGAATGTCGGGATGATCGGGCTCAGCATGATATGGTCAAGCGTGTGCACCCGCCCTCTGACGCCTGAGGAGCTCGTCGCCCGTGCTGCCAGGAGATCTCAAGGCTCGACAAAGACGAAACATCAGACTACCTTGTCCCCATGGAAGGAACCGACACGCAATTCTTCCACCAGGGAGGACTCTTTCTTTTCCGCAGCCTCTGGCAGTGCCGCTGCCAAGCGCCCCAGCGATGCGGGAGACGCTGCCCCGTCGGCGCCGACGAGGAGGAGGCTCCGCGTGAAGGCGCCAGCGCCGCCTGGCACGTGGCCTTCGCCGCGGCCTTCGCCCGCGACAGGTTCCCGCGCAGCCTCATCTTCTCCGCCGTGCGTTTCGCAGGCTGATATGTTTTTCTCTCGCGCTTCTGGCGCGCGATCTGCGTGAAGCCGCCCGAGCATTTGGCGCGGCGCGGTCCAGCATGCAGGGGCGGAAGCGCTCGGGGAAACCCCTCGCGCGTGCATCGGTGAGAGAACCTCTTCGCCTCATCCTTCACCTCGTCCTCCCCCGCCGCCTCCTCACCCCATCCCAGAGGGCCACATCCCCTTCCCCGGTGCCCCTCCTTCCCCCCCCCTCCCCTGCCCTGAGGGGCCGAATCTTGTGCTTGGCAACAGGGGGGCAGGGCCAGGCAGGGCCCTCGACGTTTACGAAGCCACACGTTGGACCCGCCGGTCGGTTTGTCATCAGAAGGGGCTCAGGGTCCTTTGACTCAATCAACGATGCCCGGCCCCCTGGGCTGCCCTCCTCTCCTCCTCCCCCTCCTCCTCCTTCCTCGGATTCATCCACCTCCTCCTCCTCTCCTCCTCCTCCTCCTCCTCCTCCTCTCCCTAGGGGCCCTAAGGCTAAGGCCCCTTAAAAGGCCCCTAGGGGGCCCCTCGTCCTATTCTCGTGCTCTCCTTCTCCTCCTGTCCTGATCCCCCTGCTCTTCTTCCCCCTCCATTTCCCACCATAGCCATTTTGGCTTGCCAGCGGTGTACTGCGCACCACTCCCGACTGGTTCTTGTTCGGCCAGCAGCGCCGCCCCAGCGCTTGCCTGCAGGCCAACTCGAGATCGAATCCAGACCAGCCCAGATGCCGCCGGCGAAGGGTTCGGCATCGCAGCAGAGTCTCGGGACTTATGGCGCCGGGATGAACGAGTCGGACCCCAAGTGGCGCGACGCGCCGCTCGGCGAGTTGTTCCCAGGGTTGGACGGGAACGAGTTGCAGTCCCAAGTCTTCGCGGCCTACCTCATGAATCCCGCGAGCCCGAACAGCCGCCTCCCCTTGTTCAATGCGAAGAAGAACCGTGTGTTCAGGAGGGCAGAGTGCAACAATCGCAATTATGTTAGCCACAGGGAGAAGCTTGTCAAGGACATCCTCGCGTCCGGCTTGATCGAGGGGGTTCGCGGGGAGGCTTGGGCCATCCCTGATGACAAGAGCCTCGCCTTCATCGATAAGGACCCAGAGTGCCAGTTCCTCCTCTTGAGCCACGCCACCCTCATCGAAGCGATCTACATCGCTGCCGAGAGGGCCCCGCACAACAAGTTCGTATTGGAAACTCTCAGGCTGGGTATCAGCTGTAAGATCTTCTTCCCGATGACTCCGCTGAGCATCTGCGTTTATTTGAAGGACCTGCACAATGCCTTCCACCGCGGGGCCCAGGCCAGCGTTCTTGAGAAGTACGACCAGTGCGTCACTTGCGAATCCGAGTGGGGCGACCATTGCAAGAACAAGAAGATAGTAGCTCGCAACCTCCCCACAAAGGGGCCCAACACGTACATCAAGCAGTACTGGAAGTGGATGACGGATAATCACTACAATGCGTTTCGCAATTGGCCCATGTTCTTCAAAGCGAAGAAGTTCGTTCGCCTCATGAAGAAGTTGAAGCTGTACAAGCGCTTCAGGGAGACCGCCGAGAACGAGTGCGACTTCGCGCATCCGGCTGTCGTCGTCGAGGACACCATCCACCTCAACCACTCGCTCGCCAACGCCGTCATGCAGTTCTCCGACGCGATCCCTGGCCCGCACATCAACATGATCTTGGCCGAGGCCTTGCGGCTGGTCTACCCAGTCGTTGTGGACGATGACCTGGGGCCTCGTCGCAAGCCAGCTGCCGTCGCCGACGCCCCCCCCCCACCCCACCCATCGGTTGAAGTATCGGGGGTGTCAGCGCCAGCTGTTTTGAACCCGTCGGGCTCTCTGGCCTCCAGGGGGGCCTAAGTGCATTGGAGTCATGGTGGGATCAACGGTCTCCTCGGATGCTTCCGCCTCGGGATAGATAGCCTCGAGCAGCCTCGATAAGTCTCGGACGAGAAAACACGTGCCGCGTCGGGGCTTCCCCGAGGCGATCTCGGGGCCATTGTTTCAGTTGGTCCTCCTCAGCTCCTTGGCCTACCTGTGCTGTCCTGTCATCCTCGCCTCCCTCCTCCGCCCCCTATCCCCCCCTTCCACCGCCCCCCGTCGACCTCGCTTCCCCCCTCCCTCCTCCCGGCCCGCCCTCTGCCCCTAGGACGTCGACGACCCCACCTGGATCTTCCGCACGAAGTCGGACGAGGCCAAGATCAAGGTGCTCAGGACGCCGATGTCTTCCACAGCCTTGTACCTGAGAGCGAGCAAGGCCGCGGCCAGCGACACTTCCCCCGAGGGCCCGAAGCAGCAGAAGAAGGGGAAGGGCAACGGCAAGGGCAAGAAGGGCAAGGGCGGCAAGGGGAAGGGTGGCAAGAAGGAGAAGGGGAAGGATTCAAAGAGTAAGGCAAAGGCAAAGGCTAAGGGCAGATCAGCCAACAAGAGCAATGCGAAGGGACTCACAGAGAGAGCCATCGACACCCTGCTTCGCGACAATGTGTCATCAACCGTCCCCCTCCTCGACGATGAGCCCGGCGACGATGACACCGCCGAGGGCACTGGCAACGGCAATGGCGGCGCTTGCTCCTCCTCCCAGCCCCTGGGGGCCTCCGCTCTGGTCGGCGCGGACGCGGTGGTGGACGCCGACTGCGAGGATGCCGAGATGATGTCCGACGATCGGTCCGACGCAGATGAGATCGCCGCCATGGAAATGGCCGAGGCCGGCTTTGAGGCGCCGGATACCTTGATGGACGAGGACGACCAGGGCGAGGGCGAGGAGTCCCAGCAGCCGCGCGGGGCTGGGGGTGCGAGGACAAGGCAGGCGAAATTGTTGGACGACGCTTACGCCCTGGTCAGCGGCGTGCTCAGCCATATCCCCGAGGATCGCGTCATCCAATCGAGCGTCTCGGACATCCGGGGTGAAATCGGAGGGGGAGGGGGGAGGGTGGGTGAGGGGGAGCGGGGGAGGAGTAGAAGATGGAAGAGGATGGGGATGAGGGATGATGAGGGGAGGAGGAGGGGGGTGAGGAGGAGACGGAGGTGGCTCGATGGGGAGGGCGGGCCTGGATCCCAGGAACCCGCGAGCGGGGGGGGTCTTCCCCTCCCCTTTTCCTCCAGTTCTCCAGGGACTCCAGGCCGGGCCTTACTCCTTACTCCTGTGCCTTGTCCTCGCAGCCCTCCCCCCCCTCCGCCGCCCCCTTCGCCGTTGGGCCGTCCGCGCTTCCCACAGGAAGCTTACCGCCAGTGCCTCTTCTTCTTTTTCAAGAAGGAGTCCCTTGTCCAGCTGCCAGCGGATACGAAGCCGAAGTGGTTTGAGGCGGTGAGGCCGTTGATCAAGAACCAGCTCGCGACCGCGCATGCCCACGCCCTGTCTCCCGCGGCCCTGCAAGATATCATCAAGGGGACGATGCCGAGGACTACAGAGCCGACTGCACCGTGCCCCGAGTCGGCTGACAGCCAGGTAAAAGCATCCATCTTGGAGGAGCACCGCCGTGTCCTGGCCATGACCGATACGAGTGCCGCCATCAAAGCATGGTCAGATGATAACATGGACATTCCGCTGGTGATGGCGCCAGATTTCGGCGCTGCCATGAGGGATGCGTTCGCGTACATGAAGAAGAGGGGCGACGGCGACGGCCCGCTGGAGAACCTTCACTTCGCCATGGCTTGCGCAGAGGGGCTGCGGAAGATCAGGCCCGGGACCGAGGACTACGAGAAGGAGTGCGTGGCTGCGTCGGCCCTGATGGCAGATCAGAAGACTACCGGCTGCGACAAGCAGGCGGCGGGGCCGAAAGAGGTGTGTGACATTTGGGCTTGCCAGAGTCAGGCGTTTGCATACTGCACCGTGCGTGCGGACATCGCGCTGTCCATCCTCCGCACGATTGTCGTCCCTAAGTTTCTATCGCCAGGGCGGGATACCGCCTCTGCGAAGGCCGCCTTCACGTCCCTCTCAGCTGCGATCAATGCCATGACCGAGGCACGCGACAAGATTGCCGCCGTCGACATCAACATGAAGCTGAATGCTGGAGCCGATACTGCCATCAATTGGGTGCAGTTCTGGACTCGGTGCTTGGCGGCTGCGTCGGCTGACAACGGGCCCACAGAGCTTCGCAAGATGCTCGACGGCGAGATCACCTCCATCGCTACGAGGTTCGACCATCGCGTGAAGGCGGAGGTGGATCGACTGGCCGCCGAGCAGCAGAAGGAGACGGGCACTGGCGGCGATGACGCAGCCCAGCAGGCCACGTGGCTGCCCAGCCCCCGCCTCCAGCACTGAGATGCACGTCTCTGACCGTCCTCCCCGAGAGCCCCCGCCGTAACCCGCTCGAGCTCGGGTCGGGCGGTGCCTTGGGGGAGATGGGCAAGAGGTGCATCCGTTGCAGCGTCGAGGGAGCTGGGGGGCCATCGTCATCGTCGAGGGGGCGTCGCTGCCGGCGGCGGCGCCTGCCGCCCAGGCGGTCAACACCGAGGGCCTGGCAAACATCGCGCACTCATTCGAGGAGCAGGGCAAGCAGTACATGAGCTTGTCCACAGAGGTGAGCGAGGAGAGCTTCGAGATCCCCGCAGCCGTTCGATGCGACGTCATGCAGATGATTATGTGCAGGATCAACAGCAAGGTCACCGAACACGCCATGCAGAAAGGCAGTTTGAAAGCCGACAAGGGCATGTCTGAGTTGCTCTACGACCGGAGCGGAGCGAGGAGGACACTCTGGTGCCGTGGCATGGCCACGGACGGCATCAGGATCGGCTTCACAGGACACGTGACCATGGTTCCTACCGTGGGCTGCTTCGAGCTCGGCGAGGTCGACCACGTCAAGGTCTACCTGAAGACCAACCTCCCGAAGAGCGGACCCATCATCGGCCACTTCTGCCCCGCGTGGCTCGTGCAGCCCGTGACCATCAACGCCGATACGGGCGAGGCGGCCCGGCAGGCGAAGATGAATCTCTTGTTCGATGAAGTCGAGTTCGAGTTCAAATGGAGTGCGACGTTCCTCGGCGCAGAGGAGACGATGAATATCAAGTTGAAGATCCCATACCTCGAGCTGGGCGCTGAGTTCAAGAAGCTGGAGCACCCCTTCGAGCTCGATCGGACCTGGAGCGATGGCCTCGAGACTTGGAGCCTCGGCGACCGCGAGAAGAAGTACAACCAGGCCATCGCGGACACGCTGAAGGCCCTCAAGCCCAGTGGATCTGCGACCGAACCGGTCTCAGAGGAGTGGCGTCGCATCGCTGACCACATTTTGTGATTTTCGCGCATTCGGCGCGCGGCCGAAAGTGTGTGTTCATATAGAGTCCAGCGCCGACTGCGCCCTGGTCGCCGAGGTGGAAGCCTCGAGGTGTCCCCTACCCCGCTACGCTCCACTCCTCAACTCATCAATCCCCCCTCCAATCCTCAATCCTCAACTCCTCAATCCACAGCCCCTCGCGGGCCCGGCCGGGCTGCGGGGGGGGGCGCTCCAGGCTCGCCCGCGCGGGCGCAGCCGTCAGGGCGCCGTCCAGCCTGCCATCCAGCGGCCCGCCATCGCCGCGCCTGCCAGCAGCGCGCGCACCCCCTCAGCCTTCTCCTCAGATTCTCCTCATCCCTCCTCCTCCTCCTCCTCCTCCTCCTCCTCCTCCTCCTCCTCCTCCTCCCTCGCCTTCGGTACTCGGCGGCCCGAGTCAAGAGCCAACTAGACTAGAGCCCACAAGCGAGGCTCTCAGGCCCTCGGGATCGTGCAGCTATGCGCCCCCAGGGCGGCCTGCAGCACAGCACTACTCGCTGGATCTCGCAGGGGGGAAGGGGGGGAAGAAGCCCGATCGGGCTGAGTGGACTGGGGCTCGGGGAGGCCGAGACTAGCGACCAGCTTTTGCCAGTGCGCCTTGTGGGTTTAGGCGCAAGCTCTAGCTGTCAGTGCGCGTGCGCATGCGTGTGCCACGTGTACCCAACGAAGTGAGATACGCGAGAACAGTGATGACTGTAAAAAACGATCTGGGACAGCTCGGAAAAGCTGGGGCCCATCCGACTCCTAGGTCACCCCCAGGGGCGCGAGGATATTTGTGCATCCGGCCTGGGCCGGCGAGCCGGGAGAGCCACCCTGCCCTTCTCGGCGCGAGGGCGCGATGCGCGAAGTTAGGTGACCTAATGCGCCCTCAACTCTCCTGGCCCGCACCGCCTGCGCGGACGGCCGCGCGCGCCGCACGGCGGCCCTTGCAGGGGCGAGGCATGGGGCGAATCCGAAGGGGTGCGAGCGAGTCAGGAGGGGGCCGAACGATTCAGGTTGATCTCACCTGCTATCTTCACCTGAGTCGCCCCCCTGACTCGTTCGACCGCCCTTCGGAGTCGCCCGATCCCTCTTCTCGGAGGCGGGGGGTCGTGGAAGAGGAAGGGGGTCAGGAGTTGCGGGATCGAAATCCTCGATCCTCCTCTCCTTATTTATTCACCAGCCTACTCCCGCCTTCCCCATCCCCCATCCTTCTCATCCTAGCCCTCCTCCTTGCTCCCAGCGGGTCCGCCTGGCCGCAGCGGCTGGGCGGGGTGGCGGCGGCAGCCCGCCCGAGCCGTGCGGCCGAGGGGGCGAGCCAAGACAGTTGCGGTCAGCGGGGGGAGAGCGAGGCCGTCCGTCCTTCGCTTCTCTGCCACCGTTCAGGTGCAGCTGCGCTCTCTGCCGCGGCCCGCTTGCCACGCGGCTCGTTAGGAGGCAACCCCCTCCTCTCGAGACAGAAGTTCGAATGACGGTACGATGTGCCCAAGCATCCACTACAGCCTGGGGTAAACTCTCTTGACATCGGGTCTGGAAGCACTCGTGTAACTGGTCGGCCCCTCGGCCTCTTCGTGACGGGCTGTGGTGCGTCCTCGACGTCGTCCATGGCCTCGTTGCCGTCGGCAGCTGCCTCGGCGCCCCCTGGGTCCCCCTCCTGCGGCTCCTCGAACCTCACCTCCCCCTCCTGGGGGCCTGCCTGCCCCTCCTCGGGCGCGGCGTCCGCTGGTCGCGGAAGCCTGGCGGGCTGCGGGAGGTTGAGGTCGGGGGCTGGTCTGTCTGCCACTGGCGTGGATGCATTCGGCGCCTTCGTGTCGCTCGGGATGCCCTTCATGGCCAGGAGCAGCTGCTTGTCGTAGCGCTCGCTCTCCACGAGCCTCCGTGCGGACCTCGCCACGACAATGCCGCGCCTGGTGCCGCAGATGTGGGAGTCGTCCTCCAACGACCGCCCGAGGTAGATGCCGTATCCCCACGCGGATTCGAACTTGGCGGCGATAGGCCCAGGTTGCCTCCACATAACCGTCTCGCCGAGTGGTAGGACCTTCTTGGCATAATGCCTCTCGTGCTGACGCTCGTAGGACGTCTTGTAGTCGGAGCGGTGGATGAGGAAGCGATCGTGGGTCCACGATGCGTGGCGCACGATCCAGGCCATCAGGGGATGCCTCAACTCGATCACGATACCGTACTTTGCCCCAATGGCTCTCCTCCAGGTCCTCGTCATACCCTCGATGAACGAGTGGAACCTCTCCACCATGCCGTTGCTCCCCTTGCTCGTCTTCGGTGTGTACCTGAAGGTCGCGTTGTTCCCGATGTCCCTCGCGACCTTGGCCGCCACGTCCTTGGCCGCATTCTCGGGGTCGCACTGGATGATAACCTTCTCAAACCCGAGCTTCTCCACGTACCGCTTGAGACACTTCAGGAGAAACAGGTCCCCCCCACCCTTCGCCTCGCACCATGCCGAGGACGTAGAGTGGTATACGTTGTCAATGGCATTCATGACTGGGTGCACTTTCTCGTCACGATGCGTCTTGCCGAACATGTAGTCGATCTGGATCACAGGCACACCCTCTACCTCTTTGATCCTCTCATGCCTGTCGTCCAGGCCTCGCCCCCCTACACAGTCCGCGCACCGCGCTGCATATGGACAGTGGAGGGCCTCGTGAGCCTCCCTCTCGGCTCGTGTCGGCTCCCTTGGCGCCGTCATCACCGTAGCCTCGGGCCTGACTTCTTGCGCCGTCGGCTGGTCCACCTGCGCAGCGATGTACTCCTCGGGGACGCCCGTCGCCGTGTTGTAGACGACCAGGCCGTCCGCGCCGATCTTGGTGCCGACGTAGCTCATCACCGTCGCGCGCAGGAAGAACAGGCCGAGCCTCCTCTTCAGCCCAAGCCGCGATCGCCCGCTCCTCGAATCCCGCGTGATCGAGGGTGGGCCCGTCGAGCCTGGCGGTGGGAACTCCACCCCAGCTCCTGCCTTGTTGATGCTGTTGACACTCAGGATCGGTTGCGTCACCTCCGTGACGTGGAATCTCACACTGATCTCGTCGTCATTCTGCGTCTTCAAGTTCACCTGCTTGTCGCCGTAGTGCTTCAGGGAGGTCCCGTTGGCGACCTTGATCTCCAGCCTCCTGTCCTGCATAGTGGGGTAGTCGGGGAAGTCGCTGGGCCCGCACACCGACTTGTTGGCGCCAGTGTCCACCATGATGTCAACCGTCTGGCCAACTCTTGTTCCGCTCGGGCCCTCAAGCGTGCCGACGGCGAAGATCCACGCAGCGTCCTCGCACTCGGAGCACTGGAGGGCGTTGGCACTGATGGAGGCGCCGGCGTCCTCGTGGGAGGAGGCCGCACCCTTCTCCTTCTCGTTGGTGGTGTCCCAGCTCGCCCACTTCTCGTCCCAGGTGTTGCCGTCCCAGCCACTGCCGTCCCAGGTGCTCACGTTGTGGATCTTGGCGTAGCAATCCTTCTGTTTGTGCCCCCACTTGCCGCATCGTCCGCAGTGTCCCTGGAACTTCTTTTCTCCGCCGGCGATGCCACCGCCGCTGTTCCTGTCCTTGCCCTTACCTCTGGTGTCGTTGCCTTTGCCCTTGCCTTTGCCTTTGGCCTTGCCGTATCCTCTTCCGCCCTTGCTGTTGATGGCGCCGATGTCCATCGGCGCAGGGCCACCAGGCATGGACTGCTTCGTGAGCAGGAAGTCTGCGGCCACCTTCTTGATCCTCGCCCACTGGATCTCCTCCTTGGGTGTCCCCAGCAGCACGTGGTTCCTCAAGGCCTCAGGGGCTCGTGCGATCAGGACCGCCGAGCGGATGTTGTCGCTGAGGGCCTCGCTCGCCAGCTTCTCGTACTCTTCGATCGAGATCTCGAACTTCGCCATGTTGTCGAGGAAATCCGCTTCTCCGCCGAAGTCGAACTCCAGCACCCTCATCAGTCTCGATAGAATGCTGCCCATGTTCTGAGGGTCATACTGGGAGCTCAGCCTGCGGTATGCCTCGAATCCGTCTTGGTTGCTGACCTTGCGGATGATGCCGAGCGGGGTGCCCTCCGTATACATCGTGAGCTGGTAGAACAACGACTGCGCCATCTGTCTCCACTCGTCGTCGTAGTTGGCGTAGTTCAGCTGGTTCTGGCTGTACTCGACCTGGGTCATTCCCTCTAAGCACTTCCGACTCTGGTTGCCGATGTACGCCTTGAACTTGAACGCCCAGTCATGGAAGTCTAGCTTCTTCGTGTTGTCGAAGGTCGGCGGCTTCCCTTTGTCTCCGATAATCGCGTTGGCGAAAGCCTTCGTCGACTGCTGCCGACTCGCTGCATCTGCGTCGGCTCGCTCCGTCTGGAGCCCTGTGATCGTCTGGTTCTGGTTCTCGACCGTCTCCATCAGTCGGCCGAGCTCTCGCTTCGTCTCCAATAGCTCCTGTGCGAGAGCCTCCACGCTCATCGCGGCCGTCAGCCGCCTCACAGGCGGGCAGGCTGATCTCCGTGGATCTGCGGGTCAGTGTCACCCGCGCTCCGCTGCCATCTTGACAGCAATAAACGATGCCGATCCGTTTCACTCTCAAATCCTCAGCGCCAAAACGGCTTCAGTACAGTGCATGGGTGAGAGCGGGAAAGGGATATGTAGGGGAGGCACGGAAGGGCGTCGGGGGCGATATATCTCGACAGTTTCGGTCAGAGTAAAGGGACAGGACGGTCTTACACCATCCCTCGGTGCGTGGGTTAAGTGTGATTCGGTGGCCCAGAGTATGCTTGTTGAAGTCTCATTTCAGAAGAATGCTTGTTGTTGATCTCTGGCGCGGTGCCCATTGCGTAACGATTCCAATTTAAATGCTCCTCCTGGGGCTCGCGCCCGGTTTTTGGAGGATCGATTGATCTCAGATGGGGTCGCTGGCCCAAGGTTCACAACAACAACACCAACAACAACTATCATTTTAGGACTGCTCGCTCGTATCTGCTCGCGGGAGCGCGATCCCTGTATAAATTGTGAGGACGTCCCGCGCGAGAGCGCGATTTTGGAATACATTGCGAGGAAGTAGCAGGGGGGAACCGTTGTTGTTGCAACTCACTTTCCCTTTTGAAAACAAGATGCGGCCCTGGGGTGCGCACTTTAAGAAACAAGTGCAATGGTTACCTGGGAAGGGGGATCAACAACAATTTCCCTTTCAAATAAGACTTCAACAACAACACCACCAACAACAACCATCACGACCACATCTGACAACAACAGCAGCAGCAGCACAGCAACAGAAACAACACAACCAACAACTACACCACCAGCAACAATAACAACAGCGCCAACAACAACATTAACACCAGCAACACCACCAACAACACCACAAACAACACCACCACCAACAACGACAACAACAGCGACAACAACAACAGTCATTTTAAGACCGTTCGTCCTTATCTGCTCGAGTGTCCAATAACGCATATCTCCCAAACCCTCTATACCCGCCCTATTCGTTTTCGATCGAACCCCGTTTTGGAAGGTATACCTTCCTTCCCTGCAGGCCGGGCCCCGGCAAGCGGCGGGGCGGCCGCGGACCGTCGGCATGGCCAGCGGCAGCGCTGATCGGCGGGGCGGCCGCGGACCGTCGACCCGACCCCAAGAGGGACGGACAGGGGACCGACCACGACGACGACGACGACGTCGACGACGACGGCGACGACGACGACGGCGACGACGACGACGAGCGAAAGCGAGATCGAAAGAGAACGACAGCGGGGCCACAAGGACACGAAGTAGGCCACAAAGGACAACAGCGGGGACACGAAGGGAATGCGTATGGGGCCACGAAGAGCGCGAAGGAGCGGGGGACACGAAGGGCAGATAATGCGGGGCCACAGAAGGCAACGATGGGGCCACTGAGGGTAGCAACTGGGTCACGTAGGACATATGCATATGGGGCCACCACGGGCGCGAACGAGTGGGGGCCACGAAGGGCATACATATATGGGGCCACGAAGGTCAGCGAGGGGGCCACGAAGGGATGCAACGGGCCACGAAGGGCAGCGAGGGGGCCACGAAGGGCTGCAACGGGGCCACGAAGGGCTGCGACGGGGCCCCGAAAGGCAGCGAGGGGGCCACGAAGGACTGCAACGGGGCCACGAAGGGCAGCGAGGAGGCCACGAGGGGCTGCAACGGGGCCACGAAGGGCAGCGAGGGGGCCACGAAGGGCTGCAACGGGGCCACGAAACAAAGCGAGGGGGCTACGAAGGGCTGCAACGGGGCCACGAAGGGCAGCGAGATCCCGATTCCTATGTAATCTGTGAGGGGGTCCTAAGCGTGAGCGCGACTCCTGGATGCCTGGGTGTCGGGAGCGCGGCGCTTGAGTAAATTTCGAAACATTCCAACGCAATGGCGCTATTCTTCGGTAAGTTGCAAGCAAGACTCCAGAGCAAATCAACGCGCTAGGCGGGGACTTCCCCGCAACGTATGCAGAAATCAGTCTCTCTCTCTCTCTCTCGCTCTGAAGACTTCCTCGTAACTGTCATGCAGACGACGCGCCTCGACACTCAGAAATCACGCTCTCGATGTGATCGCGCTATCGCTCCAGATTTCCTTGCGAGTCATGCGAGACTGACGCTTCAGCGACCCGCCCACTCGACCTGGACGTCTGGGCCCACCCACCCAACCCGCCTGTGAAAGTCCGCCCGCTCGACCCGCTCGCCTGGTCCTGCCGCTTCCTAACCCCCCTTCTGCTCATCCCTCTCGTGCTCCAACCATCTCCTTCCCCTTCGTCTCTTCCCTCCTCTGTCACTCCACCTGTTTTAAGGGCTACGCCAAAAACACGGGGCAGATAAGAAAACTTCTCTCCACGGGGGTACGATGTAAAACGAAGAGGGCAAGTACCGAGAGGACATGCATGTTGAGTGACACACGAGCGTATGATACGATCCGTATGAGACGTATCATTGCTGTTTATGGGTTGGTTGCTAGTGCTGTTGTTGTTGTTACTGTTGCTGCCGTTGCAATTGCTGTTGCGGTTGTTGTTGCCGTTGCTGGTGCGGTTGTTGTTGCTGTTGTTGAATTCACACTCCGAGAGCAATAAGTATTGTTGATCCCCCTCTGGTGCCCATTGTGTTTTTCAATTGGAATGCCCCTTCCAGGCCTCGCACCCTGGCAAAGGGAAAGAATGAGCCTCTGAATGTGTTTTGGCCCCCGATCTACACCAACGGATCCCGCCTGAGACTTCCTCACAAATTATGTTAAATTGGGCCCTAGTGCGGGACATTGTAAGAATCGCGCGCGCGCTCTCTCTCTCTCTCTCTCTCTCTCTCTCTCCTGGGGGTTCCTCACAACTTATGAAGACGCCGCGCCTCGACGCTCCAGAATCACGCTCTCGCTCTGCATTTCCTCATGCTATAATTGGGAATCGCGCTATCGTTCCAGACGTCCTTGCGATTCATGCGAAGCTGACACTTCAGCGATCCGCCCGCCCGGCCCGGCCGTCTGGACACACCCGCCCGACCCGCCTGTTAGGTTCCGCCCGATGGACCCGCCCGTCTGGTTCTGCCACTTGCACTCCTGTTTTTAACCACCCTCCTGCTAATCTCTCTCGTGCTCCGTCGTTCTCCCTCTCCTTTGTCTCTTCCCTCCTTCGTCCACTCCCTTGTTTTAGGGGTTGCGCCAACTACACGTGGCAGGTAAGGAAGAGATCCCCCCAAGGGGGGTACGATGGAAGACGAAGAGGGCGGGTGTTGGGGGTGTGGGATATCCATGCTGGAAGACGCGAGGGCATATAACAGCGGAGAGTCTTAAACTGTGTGCCCGACTCCTGCTGGCGGAGCCCCAGGGGGGGGGGGGCGCGACGGGGGGGGCCTTCCGAGCAGGCGCAAAGGCTTCTTAAGCCACGGGGCTCTCTCGTAAGGCCCCAGAAGCTTCTCAGAAGCCTCCTTAAACTCGCCGCCGCTCGGACGTCCATTCCCCGTTCAGTCATCCATAGGATTCCTTACGACAGCTATAGAATGCTTTAGGACATCCATCGGGTCCCTCAGGACATCCATGATATTCCTTAGGACATCCATAAGTCTCCTTCGGAAATCCATGTGTTCCCGTAGGACATCCATGGGATCCCTAAGGGAAGTTATTGGATTCCAATGAACAACCTGTAGAACCCTTCGGTAACCCATGGGATTCCTCAAGAAATCCGTAAGATGTCTTACGACATCCATCGTTGTTTGGGAGCATCTACGGGACTCCTGAGGAAACCCATGGGATTCTTCAGGAAATCCGCAGCAATCCTGTGGACACCCATAGGGTTCCTAAGGAATTCCATAGGATTCCATGGAACAAGCCATAGGCTCCTTTAGGACATCAAGTGGATTCCGTAGAAAGCCCATCGGAACCCTGAAGACATCTATCGGATTCCTTCGGAAACCCAAATGAATAGTCAAGAAGCCATTCGGATTCCTTAGGACATCAATGAACCTCCTTTGGACATCCGCATGATTCTTTACCAAAGCCTTTGGACTCCTTAGGAAATCAATCGGACTTCTTAGGACATCTACAGAAATCCTCGGGACATCTATGGGATTCCTAAAAGAATATACAAGCTTCTTCTGGACATCCATACAGTTCCTTCGGATATCCATAGGACCCCCCGGGAAATCCAAAGAATTCGCAGGATTCCTTCAGAAATCCATATGATTCCTTTGGACATTTATAGGAGTCCTTAGGCGATCCATCGAATTCTATAGGAAATCCATTGGATTCCTTAGGACATGCATGGGATTCCTTCGGAAGTCAAAACGAACCCTTAGGGAAGCCATCGGATTCTTTAGGAAATCCGTCGGATTCGTTCGGAAATTCTTGTTTCAAAAAGTTCCGATGAGATGTTTCAAGAAATCTATAGGATTCTTTAGGCAATCCATAGGGTATCTTTGGAAATCGATGGGAGTCCAGAGGAAATCCATTGGATTCCTTTGGGAAATCCAGGTCCTTCGGAAATCCAAAGAGGATTCCTCCGGATGTCCTACTCCCATGAAAACCCAAAAGGAATCCAATGGACTTCCTCAGGACTCTTATACATTCCTCAGGAATCATGTGGGTTTCCGTTGGATTCGGATTCTTCAAGAGATTCTTCAGGAATCCTTCGGATTTCATCGGGCAATATATATATATATATATATATAGATATGACCATAGAAAACCAGAATATTCCAGGATAAATGCGTTGGATGCGCTACGAATGTTCATAAAATTGCCTTAGAACTCCTTGGGAAATTAATCGGCATCCTTGGGGCATCCGTAGGACTTCTTCGGAAATCCATAGGCATCCATAAGAAATCCGTAGGATGCCCTAGGACATCCATAGGATGACCGTGGAAATCGATCGGAAGCCTTAGGAATCCTTGCTACCCGAAAGAGAATCACTTCGATTCGCAACTTTCCCCCACGATCTGAAAATTCGGCCTTGCCGCCTCGCTTCCCTGACC